TTAAAGTGAAGGAATATCTCATATCCTGTTATTTTTCTGACAAATTTCAAACTATTGAAAATTAAAGCTTTTGCAAACTTAAACTCAAAACAAACACAGAAACCAATCAAATTAGCCAAAGTCCGAAAAAGGCAAAATAAATAAACTCAACAACTTCAAATTATGTAAAAAAATAGTACGGAGAAGGTAAGAAATATGCTGCGCCGAGATATATTAAAAATTTAAATTTTAGGGTGGGATTACTTTTATGAAAGTTTTTCCTATGTTCAAAGTTTAAAAAGTATAAAAAATATTAAAGTCAACAACAAAAAGTATAACAACAACAAATATATAGCAAATATCTGCCAGATACACTAAACGAACTAAACGAACTAATAAGAAAAACGAGTTCAATGCATGCCATACTCTTTGCACCTCAATAATGAGCAGAGATATTTCATGTAAACGTAATTCAAAACAACAAAAATAAAAAACAAAAATGTTTTGAGTATTTTTATTTCAAGCTTTATGTATTTTTTGTTGTTTTTTGTTAACAGACTTCATAAACCTATCTGCTCTGTAGCTTTGTATCTGTGCATGAAATTTTTTCCGAACTAGCTCAACCAAACACGTTGTAGGTCTTGCCCCGCCATAGACCGTATGAATGAGCAGACAACAATTGGATTGAAAATATGGCAATGAGTGAGAATGAATAAGTTACCTATTCAATTTTCCACTCAAATGAGTTTTTTTCATAAGAATGAATGAGAGTGAATAGTACGCTTAGATATTTTTCGGGGTGGTTATATGCTTAAGATATTAGTGTATCTAGCGAATGTATCTGCTGCTGTTGGATTTTGAGTGGTGGAATGAGAGATTTGTGTGATGTGTCGCTAGGTCGAAGTCGAGTCGGGTCGGGTCGTGTACCTTTTGCCACGAATGTTTTGCCAGTCAGGCTCTAAAAGGCCTTACGAAAACAGCTGAGATTTTGCTACTCGCATGACGCGCACTTCTTTCACAAATTTAAAAGAAGGAATATATACAAAATTAAAGTTTTTTAAAAATAACTAAGTCGAAAATAACGTAGTGAAATATTTTTTGTATTAACTTAAAAATTATACGTGAACGGTTGAACGCAAAAAATGATTATGAAACGGTTTTGAATACGTAAAAATTTTTAAAATCTGCGTATCGGATTTTTTTCAATAAATTTGAATTAAAAGTGAAAAATAAATCAAAAAGAAAAAAATTAAAAGTTTGCAAAAATCACAATATCAATTTGTAAAAAAATAAGTACAAAAATGAGCACTACTTAAAAATCAGCACAAAGAAATTACAGTTCAAAAATTAAAAAAAAAAATTGAAATTAAATTTCCTTTCGTGCGAAAAAAGAATAAATTCGCTAGCGAATTAGTTAATAATAAATAATTTGTAAGACCCCAATTTAAATACTCACAGATAAGCTGCATAATACATATACGCCGTGTAATTCCCAAACCGCCAAAATTATTACCCATAACTCGTTGAGCGTGTACGGTGGTGGCGTCATGTGCGCCTCACCGTCCACAGCTCCCGGTTTCTTCAATCCGCGTCCTCAATCCGGTGCTGAGTTGTCCGCTTTCGACTTGGGCTTACCACGGTCTATGGCTTTGGGTGTGCCACCACCATCAGCATGGCATGAACCAAATTTAGGTGGTCATTTGCATGCTTCGACCGGTCCTGGTTCGCTAGCGAGCACCACAGGTACTGGCAGTTCCGTTGGTACCGGCGGTGGTACAACTCCATCAAGTGTGGCAAGTCAACAATCTGCGGGCATCAAACAGGATCTTTCCAGTCTAACTGGAACGGGTCAAACAAATCTAAACCAAAGTGGACATCATACAATTAAAGAGGACTTATCTAGCTTATCTTCAGCGACGGCTGGTGGTCACACAACACATCATAGCGGCACAACGCAACAGAGTCATGTTCAAGATATGGGTGTTATGATCAAAGGAGTGCAAACGTCAAGTTGCTTAGGCGGCGGAGGTGGTGGTAGTACTACGCCGAGCTCGCAAGCAAATAGTTCACATTCACAAAATAGTAATAGTGGTTCACAAATAGATTCTAAACAAAATATTGAATGTGTTGTGTGCGGCGATAAAAGTTCTGGAAAGCATTACGGACAATTTACATGTGAAGGTATGTGGAAAGTTTTTTTTTTAAGAAAAATTAAAATCCATAAAAAAAATAGTAGGAAATAGTTGCAAGTAAAAATAATATATATCACAAATTTTTAAAGATTTAAAAAAAATATAGAATATGTAAAATATCTGAATTAGGACATTTATTAAAATAATTGAGTATAAAAAATTTTTAGAGGTATATATTGGAAATGAAATTTTTGAGCCCTCGTTTTTGTCTATGATTAAAATAAGTGTATACATTCACTGTTTCAAATCAAGAAGCATAGTTTTGGCAATAGTAAGCTCTGATTAAAGTTGTATTTAAAAACCAACATATAGAGGATAAATATTTCACAAAATGTTTAGTTTCCCTCTTTTAGAAGAAACAAAAACTGATAAAACTAGTTTTATGCAATAATTAAATTATTTGTACGTCTTTAATACACTTATTTTTGATATAAATAAGAGAAAATATTAAATTTTAAAACATATTTAATTAAGTATTAGAAGAGATACTGTATATTTTATTGGCTCGAATTATTAATGCACATTTTTAAAAGTTTTAAAATTGAAGAGGAAAAAATATATATAAATTATACAAATTTGAACAAATGTTGTAAATAAAATCAATTCATTAAATTAATTTTATTTAAAAAAAAATCAAGTTATAAAAAAAAAATTTTTCTTATAATGTTAGTTCCATAATCTCTGAGATATCAGTTACTCAATATTTAAATTAAAGGAGGTTACTTACATAGCGTGAGCGACCTCAGTCTCTATGACTGTAATTTTCTCTGAAGAAGAGAATCTTCTTTCAGAAAGTATAAAATTTGTGGTTTCTGGACAAAATGTGACCTCTGTGATTTTGACAATTTATATTAATGTCCAATTTACAGATAAAGATTCTGGAACAAAAGCAAAATTGCAGTTAAAAATTTAGTAAATATTATGTGTACGATATATAAAAAATTCTTGTTATATAACAAAATATATTTCTAATATGTACTTATATAATAATAATTTCTCAAGACAGGTTTAATGGCATAAGCGTGTTATTGTGCATTTGCATTAAGATTTTCGTTAGACAAAGATCAAGAATATGGTATGATAATGTTACAACCTTGATACTCCGACAAAAGAGTAATTGTTAGTTATGAGTCTTCTAACGGATTCAGTTTATAACTTTTTATTTTATCATTTTATAGTGCGAACAGTTTTGTCAGTACAATCACAAAATTTTTCCTGACGTTCAAAACACGAGTATACCTATAAGTAGATGAGATAATGCGGGTTAGGTAAATCATTGGGCTTCCAAAACGATTTAATTATTTTGCACATTTAGTCATAGTATTTCCATATATGTAAAATGTATCAATTTATGAAAAATATTACATAATTTATAATTTTAAGAAGAAGAAAATAAAACAAAACAATTTAAAAAAAAACACATTAGTTATGGGGATTCTCAATGCTTTTTAATGAAAAACATATGAGAATAGAGTTGCAACGGTGCACTATTTGCTTACGCATAATTTATTTCCCATATTAGGAAATTTCACTAAATTCTTTTTCTTATTCAATCTCATCACGGTCCTTGCTAGACCAATGTTGCCTTAATCATTATTTTTTTCTGTCATAACATTTCTTATCATTCTATTATATCAATTAATCCGTCAATTTTTTAGCCTATCTCTGCTCAACTTATTAATAAGCGCTCTTGTAAATTCTTCAATTCCAGTCTTTAATTTTTTTTTTTATTTTAAGCATTAGAACAATATTTTGTCATATAGTATTAAAAATGTAATCGCCATTACTATCTAGATGATATTGCAGAATAATATCAGTATAGAAAATTTTATGATGTAGTAATATCATTAGCATTTATCATAAAATAAAATCAATTTATTGTCATAAGAATTTAGCTCAATTGTCCTCCGAAACTTAGATTTATTCACATATAAAATTTTAATATTTATTTTATATTGAGCGATGTATGCAAATAGGGGAAAAAAGTGCTAAAAAATAATAAAATCGAAACTATTTGTTTTTCATGTTTGCCATTTATAAAAACCGCGAAACAAGAAATGCCAATCAAAATGTCAAAATTGTAAATACACAATGTAACAATGTATAATATTTCAATTGCCTCATAATAATGAAGGTTCAAATCAAAAGTAACCATCTAACTATATTGTGTTGAACGAAGCATTGCTAAAAAATCATTATCATGCATAAAAAGATACGATAAAGATATAAAAATATACAAAAAATACACAAAAACAAAAAGAAATAAGGAACTTACTTATATCAAACAGAAAAAAAGAAACCAACCAACATCAAAGTGAAGGTGTATATTGAAAATAAAGTACGAATATCTGAGATACATAGATGAACGCAAGAGCATTGCATGATGACCATACAAAAAATAATGATGTTAGTAGACAGTGGTTGAGGAATAAACTTACACGAATAGTTAAACAGAAGACAGACAGACAGATAGATGGAGGAAAAGACGGAAGGACAGACAAGCCTAGAATCGGGAAAAAAATCAAGACTCATAAAAGCGTGCCTGCAAATCTAACATTTTTTGACAGCTCAGGTGAATTATGAAAGTTTGATGATTTGAACAAATAAATGCAAATATTCAATATATTCGTAAATAAAAAGAAAAAATTAAAGAAAACTAATAAAAAATCATAAAGTAAACTGCAATCATAAATAAGAAATTCATTGGGCAAAAGCAGAAAATTGCTATGCAAATTTAACAATTGCTGTTGAGTTTTTTATTTGCCTTAAATTGTTGGTGACTTAATAAAAATATTTTTGAAGTACATTAACTTTGTAATGCTTAAAGTTGACTCTTGTTAAAAAAATTTGTATTTAATAATTTTCACAACTTAACTGATAAGATAACATATATGAATACATTATCAACAATTTAATATTATTTTTTATATAAATTTTCGTAGAAGAAAATGTATCAAAGCACCTAGAAACGCATAATTCTTTAACCTTATCGCACTTTGTGGTAATTATCTTTATAATTTGTTCAGATTAAAGAGCAAAACAAAAAAAAAATAAATAAAAACTGAGATGAAATATTATGTAAACATGCAAATTTTGAATGCTAACTTGGCTTTCTTGGCTTCACAAAACTGCTATACAAATTGACTGCATTCTAACTTAAATGCTTCTTATGTTTCGTATGCTACGAGTAAAATAAAATTCTCCCACAATTTTGCTTTGCGTTTTACTGCAATTTTAAACTGTTTAAAACCCACGACTTGTCATGTTAGCAACTAGATTTAACTAAGGCACAGCTTTAGATTACTTTTTTAGTTGGATTTTCAACACAGCAAAACGTATAGGGAGAATAGAAATTTGTAGTTGCGCCTATGCCATAATTAAACACAGTTAAGTCAGGCTTAAAACCAGCTTAGAATTAAAAAGAAAGTACCAAGAAAAAAGAAGAAAAAAACAATAGGATCATAGAATAAGAGGAAGGTAAAGATATACATTATGACAAAGAGTGGTATGTGAAGCGCATATTTAAAAACAGAATTTTGGATCTATTAGTGAAGGTCTTCAAATGGCATCAATCTATACGTTGTCAGTTTGTGGTGATAATTAATATGATCAATTTCATAAAATATCCCATTGAAATATTTAAAACACTTTTCTTTATTATGAAATAAAATGCATAATACATGCTCTTAAAATGAGTGTTTATCAAGCGCTTAATACTATTTTCCATCATTTTTCTGTAATATCCTATATGTTTATTATTATTGAAAATTATTTCGAATTTAAATATAAATTTTCTGTTCAAACATGAAAATATGATCTCATAAATAAATGATATTCTAAACGCGAACGCTTTTTTAGTTCACTTAGTTTTACTATGAATTTCTACTATTTTTATTGAAAATAAATCAATTAAAATCTGTAAAAAATTATTAGAATTATTGACTAATTAGAATTAAAACGCATACTTTGAAAATATCAACACACTTAATTATATGAATGCTTGTTACAAAGTCACTTTACTCTGGCAAGCAGTTTGTGCTCAACTAAGCTCAAATATATATATATATAATGAAATAAACAAAAACTAATGTGCCACTTAACAGCATCAAAAAATTAAAAAAAAAAACAACTAACAATTAACACCTAATAGCATTAGCAAAGCGGAAAATACGATAGTACCATCATGTGATATCTAATAATTTTAATAATTTTACACAAAATAAAAATATAGTAAAAATTCTGTATGCAATATTCACAAAAATATATTATTTAATTAGAGGTGCATGATATATGCTGGATCTGATTAATTTATTTTACTCTTGTTTATAATTGATTCTACTAACATCTCTTCGGCATTTATATTTAATCCATTTGTTTGACAATGGGTTAGGTGAGCAGCTTTATGTAAACAAAATATAAAAAAACTCCCAAATTAAATGATTTACTTGCTCTTTAACTCAATTTCCTTAACTATAAAAGCCACAAGTATATATAATTTTTCTCATAACATAAAAAATCAAAACCAAAACTAAAACGAAAAATAAAACCAACAATTAATCTTCAGTGTTTGTACTGTTCGCTTATATTTTGAGGCAATCAAAGTTAATATACAACATTTTGATCTTTTTTTTCAAAGTCTCCACAGTGACGTAGGTAAATTTAAGAAATTTTGTGAATTTTTGTTAAGCTTAGTATGCGTAAAACTACATCTTTTCGCTATTTTAACCTTTGACGCACAGATATAGTTTCACTACAGCGCACTGCCACAAATCAGCGCAGTACCCTTTTGTCAGCTAACACTGCAACCGCGGCAGCAAGCGCAGCACATCGGCAGGAGCAACACACATCCCTGCTTACAATTAAGCAGTCGAACATGATCACGTTATGCTCATATGCAGTTAAAACTTTTTAAGCTGTCTGCGTTTGTAGATACTCGTACAGATACAACCACATACCTACGACGTACGAGTGTATGATATGCGCAAATACTCGTGTAACAAAGATATCGTTAGACTGAACGTCGGTCGGTCATAGTTTGCAATGCGGGCAGATCGCAATAAAAGTAGGAAGCAACATTAAAAGTGATCATGGACAATGCATTTGAGTAAATCGCGCACATATTTGCGCACTCCTAAGCAGACAACGTGCCATGAGATACTTTTTTCGTCTGCTTGTACCTTATGAATTTTAGTGCAAAAACGTTTGACCGTAATGACGTACATATTTATACAGAAATATAGATACCTACATATATATACCTATAGTACCTATATAATTGTATATATAACTCTGTGAAAAGATTCTTTTTTTTTTGTAACTGTAGCATAAAGCACTTTTACGTGCTTCTATGTATGAATTGAATTTCATTGCAGGCGGGAATGAAATAATGCAATTTTTTATTTAGATTTTTATTTATTTATTTTTTCATTTATTTATTATTTTAATATATTTAGTATGTGCAAGTATTTTTTTTTTTATGGTTTTGTCATAATAGTCCGTTTAAACCTGCTTACTTGGGTAAATTTCTTTAAAAAAAATTAGATAAAAAATTGGCATCTGCGAAGTTAAATTCTTTTGTGTATTTTAATAGGCATAGGTAAGATACACCAAGGAACTGTGATCAAAATATTGCCGAAGTTTGGGTTAGCGTTGCGCTTATGAAAAGTTAAGATTCTTATCGCGTTTTTATCATTGCAATAAAACATTTGGTCCTAGTCAACATGTGAAAGCCGATATGGACTGTTGTCGGTGGTCTATACAATGGCGAATCTGGAAATTAAAAACAATGCGAACAGAATTTTAATTGCAGTAGATTTTCTAAGGTCGATTTAAAAGTCTAAGTAATATGAGATGTTTTAAGACTTCAGTTTTAAAATGTTTTTTTTTAGAATAATGTTAATACTTAAAAACTAA